CTGACTGCCTTTTTTAAGTTAAATAAATATTTTTTAGTGTGCTATGTTTAATTCCTTTGTTCATTTTCTTAGTGATTGCTCTAAGAATTAAAATATGCATCTTAATTTATCACAATCTACTTCAGATTAATACTAGATTATTTTCACTAAAATAGGAAATCCAATTTATTGTTCTCTCGTGACTCTACACCAAGAGCAGGTCCTATCACAGAACTACAATGTTACAAAAGTAGTGGTGAGTGGCAGCATCCCAGTACATACAGCTCAGTGAGAAAACTTGTGTGTATGATTAGCGGAACTAGAAGAAAGACACAGAGGTCCACAGACAGTTGGAATCCCTTTACATTTTTCTTTCTACTTTTCATCTCTACTTTTTCTCTACTTTGTTTTTCTGTGTTAGAATGGTTTATTCATTTGTCAGATATATTCATTGCATATATTTTTCCAAACATGTGAGCTGCTTTGCATTGGTTTGGTAATGTTGTTTGATGAACAGAGGTTTTTAATTTTAATAAAGTCCAATGTATCAGTTCTTTCCATATGGTTAGTGCTTTTAGTATCTTTTAAAATTAACCTTTGCCTAATCAAAATCATAAAGATGTTCTATGTTTTCCTCTGAAAGCATTATTTTAACTTTCATATTTAAATCTGTAATCTATTTGGAACTGTTTATTTTTTGTACAGTGTGAGGAAGAAATCAACATTTATCTTCATATTGCTCCCAACTGACCTAGTAGCATTTATTGGAAAGATCACCCCCTCCCCACTATACTGCAGGATCAGCTTCATCGTGTATCTAGAGGTCTTTTATTCCTAAGTCTTTTCTGACTCTATTCTGCTCTGGTTTGTCAGTCTTTTGATCTTTGAGACAGTACCACAGTGTGTTGATCACTTTTACAGTATACATTTTACAGCTTTGTTGTTCTTCTTCTGTATTTCACTGGCCAGTTTTTAACTTGTCTTTCCATGTGGATTTTAAAATCAATTTGGTAACTTGCACAAAAAAAGTCATTGTATTTTTTTTTACTGGAATTATGCTGAATACATAGATTTTATTTCTTTAATAGAGTAATTTGAGGCTGATGACATCTTTACATTAGTGAGTTTTCCAATCATGAATATTGTCTATCGTTCCATTTACTGAGGATTTCTTTAATTTCTCTCAATAAAGCTTTAAGATTTTTAAGTGTGGCACTCTTGTCCAATTTTGTTAGATTTACTTCTAATTATTTGGTATGTATGACGTTATTTGAAAGAGTAGTTTTTAATTCATTTCTATTTCTTTGTTGCTGGTATCTAGACATACAGCTGATTTTTACATATTGATTTTGTAAAACAAACTTGGTATAATCAAGTATTAATACTGATATTTGTAGTTTCCTTTATTTTTTTTATGGTTAAGATCATGTCATCTTAACTAATGATCAAGTGTTTCCACAAGGTTCGTTATTATCTCTTTGGTAAAAATTTTGGAAAAATGTAATGTTGAAGCCATATGACGGGAGTAGGCTTTTCCTTGTGAGAAGAATCTTGATATGAATCACACACACACATATCATTCAGTTCTGTCCAACTCACTACATGTGGTTTAATTATGGTCTTATCTTACTGTCTGAAATACACAAGAGAAAAACAAAAACAACCATGTCTAATTCTTAGTGCTTCTCACATGTTTTCCACGAAAGTGCTTCTAATAATTTGAAGTCTCCATATTTATCTTAAAAATTTCATAAAAGTTTTCATTTTCCTCCAAAAATAGCCATATTCATTTTCTGGTGGAAATAAAGTTCTAAATAACTACTATCAAGTAGTAGTGAATACTTGTGGGAGATATACAATCTCTATACTCAGTGCCTTTGTGCTTTTGGTGTACATATTCCCTCTTGGGTATAATATTCCACGTTGGAGAATCAGCTCGAATCACAACAAGGCCCTCGTATGTCAACATCAATGTCTTGTATTTGTCAGCTTCCTGCCTTTGAACGTTTAAAGTAAGGTAAGGTGCACATATGCAGGACGGAAGTCTTCTGATCTCCAGCTTGAAGGGAATGTGTGCTGTGCGCGTAAGCCTCATCTGAGGTACACCAGCACCAGAGAGAACCTGAAATCCTGAAAGTGAATAGAACACTCACTGTTTGTATCAGTAGGAAAAATCCAAAAACCAGTCCCAAAGGAAAGAAAACCCTTGGGAGACTGATCTATACAAATCAACAAAGTGATTATTTTACGTTGTATGTTATTTGTGGTCATTTATTTATATTCCAGGCATTCTTGATTTCAGACTTTTGTTCCTTTGATGCAAGTGACTTTGGCAGCTTGCAACTGAATCGTGATTTTCCTTTCCATCCAAGCTAAGTCCCTCCAAACATTTACTTTTACAAGGCATCACTTTTGATGTCCTGTAATCTGTGATCTATCAGATGTATAACTTTTTCTTATTGAAAACATTGATTTTTGTGCACAGCAGTAGGGATGGACTACTGTCACTTATTCACTAATCTCAAGCAATTATTACAGGGCGTTCATTTCTGATAGAGACTGTTCTCATTTTTCAAGCAAATTTTTCAGTAAGAATTCTGAACACCATTTGCCCTGTCAAGGTCAGAATACCCTACAGCTAGAGACAGATGAAAGACAGATTATATCTAGTGAATACGTTATAACAAAATTTAAGAGTACTTACATGATTAGACATTTACATTTATTTCTGGGTGTATTCCTGAAAATAAAAAGTTGTTGCTGTTTCGATATAATTGGATCAAACCTTTGAATACAAATCCTTTTGTATCCTGTAATCTTTCTTAATCTAGTTTTACAAAACATATTCATCCTCCTTCTAAGAATCTTTAATACAATACCCCCAGTCCTGCCTTATTTCATTCTATGCTGTCTCTCAAAGTGTAAAGGCAATGGCAGAGCATTTAGAAGTTTTCTATCAGGGCAGCAACCATCTCTCTCCCCAAACCATCAGTGCAACATTAAAACATTCTGTGAATCTCTGACTATACCATATTTATACAGGTTTTACTTTTGAACATTGTCTGCTTCTTCAAACAATAAAATTAAATCTTAACATTAAAAACTGAATCAACCAGAAATAAGTGACTTTAAATCTTTATAAAATTTTAACATATCCACACATGATAAAGAATTAATTCAAATAATTTCTAAGTTCTCTAACTCTATACCCTAAGTGGGATATATCTTAAGGGCAAAAAGAACTGCAAAAAAATCTTGAACTTTAACCAGTAGGTTTCATGCTGGTTGTGGTATAAATAGAAGGTATCCTGTGTATATCATGAAAAAGAACAAATAAGCAAAGGTATTGACAGTGTTGGGTGATATACAGAGATAGGGAGAGACAGGGACAGAGACGGAGCTCAAAAGAGATAAAGCAAATAAAACAGCAAAATGTGAATAATAGGTAAATACAGTGAAGGGTATACCTCTGTTCTTTGTGCTATTTATCAACTTTTCTGTAGGTCTGAAACCTTTCTAAAGTTTCGGGGATTGAAAATATCCTCAAGGATGGAAATCATGTCTTTCCATCTTTTGTAAACATCGAAACGAGGATTCCCTGACTGTCTAAGGCCAAAACTTTGTGTTTATTTTTTTGTTATAACTGACAAAAGCAAAACAATATCTTGCATACTTAAGATGCCAACTATTTGAGCCACTTATATTCAAGCCATTCACTAAGTATCACTGACTCGGGAAGGCTCAGTCATGCCGCCTCGTGCAGTGTGCTGCAGCCTGGACCTCAGTCGCTGTGGTCTCCTCACCAACCCCAGGCACCAGCGTCCCCTCCCCACGCTTACTTCACTCCACACCACCGGTGGAGAGGCTGCCACCGTCCTGTTTCCACAGAAGCTTCACATCCTCTTCTATTGATTCCTTTCAAGGGTTTTAAAATTTCTCGTGGTGAAATCTGGGTATCTGTGTGCACTTGGAGAAAGGCATCCGTGGAACCTCACAGCCCACACAGTGGGCATGACTGCAGAATCTCAGAATTGACGCAGACACTAATAGCAGCCCCGTGTAACCGTCAGCCACTGACAAAGCCCACACCACACGGCCTGATGTCCAGCAACCCCACAGATGACGAGCTGATAACATCACAGGTGAGCCCCTCCCGTCTCTGAAACGCTCAGGCCATGGAGTTGCCTTCTTCTTTTTGAGACACTCTGCCCTGACTTCGTCCTAGCACTGTGGCCTTGGGGCCACAGAGAGACGGCCCAACCCTCTCCCAAGGCAGTACCCGCATGTACTTGAAGATGTGGTCTTATGTCCAGAGTCTGCTCTCTTCCAAGCTGCGCTCAACTGCTTCATCCCACCACCATCCTGAGCCACGGGTCTTCATCCCATCCTCCCTGGGAACCCACTCTTCTCAACACCCTCTTAAAGTGAAGCCTGGATGCACGCAGCATCTCGGGTACAAAGTACTTATCCTTTAGGATGAGGAAACAGTCTCCCTTGCTAACCAAAGCCATCCTGCCATTTTTCCTTCATAAAGCAGACAAGGCTTTTGATCTCCCCCAGGCTCTCACTGGGAGTAAGAGGGGGTTCTCTTCCTGCCAATGTTGCTTATGAAAAATATTCAACGATGTTTCACGTTTAATCCACTTAGTAATGAAAAGTAAATAAGCCCAACCGGCATGTTTGATTTGTCTCGGAAAGAGAGAAACTGCTTTGCAAGAACAAACACAGTTAAATTAAAATAAGCGACTCTCCTCAAGAGTGGAAATTGAATTTTCCCCCAAAGAACTAAACGTGTGTAAAACACTGTGCTGACACCGATAAGAGAGGGCAGGCCTTACTGGAGCCCAGCTCCCGCGGGTCCCCGGGGCCCAGAGGGCAGGGACCCGCGTGCAAGGGCGTGGATGCAAATACTGAAACTCACATGCCTCCCGCAGTGCATCCCGCGCTGCATCCCGTGCTTCCTGGGCGGGAAGCGCGCAGGGACCCCTGCGTGGTCGCGGGCCGGACGCGCATCCACCTACCGTTTTTGCAGATTGGGCAGCACTGGTCGGGCTCGTACACGGGGTCCACGCACTCGGTCTGTGGACACGCGGACACCGCGCACAGCACTTCCCCGCTGGCCTCGCAGCGACACCGCTCGCACGGCGACACCTGCAACACAGGCCACGGTCAGGGCAGTGTCTCCATCCTCGGCCCTGAACGTCACGCACTCACGAACCCCGGGGTCCCAGAGCGTGTGGACGGTGCTGGGGCTGAGCAGGCTCCCCTGGGGGAAGGAGGGGCACACTGGTGGGGCCTGGGATGCTCAATCCCTCCCAGCTCCACACCTGAGCCTCTGTATTTTTATCAACCCACATAGTGAGCTTCTTTATAAGCTTTATGTTGAAGAAAGGGTTTTGTTTCTTAAAAAAGTAAATAACACGTCATATTGAATTCTTGCCCAGCCACGCATCCTGCAGGTGAACCCTTTTCCCACAGCTCTGCCCAGGGCCACCCAGCCAGCCCGGCCCGCCCCCAGCATCTCAGCTGTGAGAAGACATCAGAGCAGGGCAGGAAGGGCGGGGTAAGGGAAGGAGAAACGGGGGCCTTCTCAGGGCCGGGGACCCGGCGGGGAGCTGTCCCAACGTGATCTCATGTCAGTCTCATGTCAATACTAAACACCCCTACTAACATGATCGCCCTAGTTTCTGGCGAGGAAACTGAGACCCAGAGGCATCAGGCCACCGGCTGTGGGCAGACCTTTCATCTGAGACAGGGCTCCGGCTCGAGTCCAAGGCCTCTCAGGGGTCGTCACCCAGCGTCACCATGGCCTTCATCTCCAGGCTCCAACTGGCCTTGCTGCACTTTCCAGCCACTGGCCCCAATTCTACCTTTTTGGGTGGCTCCAATCAAGCGTAATGGCCATTCCTAGCAATGCTGGACACTGCCAACAAATCCTCCTGTAGTAACTCAGGCAGGCCGTGATGGGGATGATTCCTTTTTTCCTGGAAACCACCCACAGAGTGATTTTTCATCTGGGGTGACCCATGCCAAAGCAGAAACAGCACATGTGGACCCAGCAATCGGGAGTTGTGATGTGGAAATACGTGCTTTAAAGGACAGTGCGGATGGGACGGGGGTTGCCAAACGGTTTTCTGGCAGGGAGGCCCCACTTGACTTTTGCGTACGACATGAGTGGCACGACCAGCACTGCGCAAACAGCACTCTCGGGTGCTCCCTTGGTCTATACCGTGCAAAAACCCCAAACTGCAATCTCCACCAAGTGGCCTGGTTACTGCATGAAGCAAAAGCTCAATTTGTACTTAAAGGCACTAGACCACTGTCTGGCTGGGAGTCACGACTTAGGGGTGTGTGTGTGTGTGTGTGTGTGTGTGTGTGTGTTCACGCTTAGAAAGTAACAAAAGAAAGAAAACACTGAGAAAAAAACTTTAGAGTGGCCCGGGACAAAATCTTGACTTGGTCTGCATTATAGCCTTAGAAGTTAAAAATCAATCTTACAACAATGTAAAGGCACGTTTTTGAGAAGCGGTGCTGGCACAAGAAGGTTCTCTCGCTACCATAACAGGCATCTCTCTGCCAACGCTCTCCTCCTGTCCTTGTCTCCTACCAGTTCTCTTTTCAGCCTGTAGCATCCTTGTGTCCAGGGTGGGTTTACTCAGCAAGCAGGATAAGAAAAGGATTCGGAATTTTAAAAGCAGAGACCCTGAGTTGCACAGGATGTAACCGAGCAGGACCCTATGGGTCCTTCCCAGAATAGACCCTCACCCATGTCCTCAGCCTGTCTTTTGTCTGTAGAAAAACTTTAGCCAAAGAGTAAATTTAATCAGAGAAGTGAGAAAATGCAGAAAGAAAGGAAAACAGTCAAGCAAGACAAAATAATACTTTAGCCATTGAACAAAGTTTAACCTTAGTTCCTCCTTAGGGCTTAGCTCCTCCTCAAGCCCTGTAGACAATATTCTGAGCCGTGTCCTTTGACCTGTTTTGCAGATACTGACATCCCCACCGGGTGGGAGAAGTTAGCTGCAAGCTGCTCACCAGCACGGAGACCCCAGACCAGCTGGAGCCAGGAGGTTGCTGATGCCGACTCCCGATGACCTCACCAGCAGCCAATCAGAAGAATGTCCAGGAGCTGACCACGCCCTCTGCTTCTGGAACATTGTAAGACTTCTCACTGCCCCCTCCAGGGCGGGACACACAGTCCGGAGGGCACTCGCCCGCTGGGTCAGACGGTGGGGAGGCAGCCCCTGCCCTGGGTGAGGTGAGGACGGTCCCATCTGGAGGGCTGGAGAGTCAGGAAGGAGCAAAGAGGGCCGGGGATGACTGGGGTCTGTCCTCAAGAAAGGGGCACGGCCCTTCCTGTTCTGGAAGGCTGTGGGCAGACCTTTCATCAGAGACAGGGCTCCGGCTCGAGTTCAAGGCCCTTCCCACCCCCTTCCTGTTCTGCAGGGAGCAGGAAAAAGCCCCATTTCGGTTTGGAATTTGAAAGGAAAGAAGGGCCCTTCTGTCCTGTCCCCAGGACAGGGCTTCAGGAGAACAACAAAGGTGCAACTTCAAATCAGAAAGGCATCATCACAGGACCCGAGGAGCCTCTCCTGGCTGCTTCCTGGGCAGGCCTGCAAACTAAACCCTCCTTCCTGCTCTGGGACTGAAACATCACCCTCTCCCACCACAGAGCCATGCTCAAACCACACACGCACCCGGGACTGCTAAATTCTGAAAGGTCTGCAACGTGATCAAAAATTGAACTGTGGGTTTTACTATCACTACACATTTGGAAATCCTGGTTCAACTACGTGGAGATTTGTTTACTTCTCAAGAATCAGAGTTGAGGCTTACAGTGAGGGCCACGAGCGTGTGTGTGTCCCTCCCCGGCCTCAGCTCCCAGCCCTGCTCTGTCTGCCCCAGCCCACTCGTGTGGCTGGGATCCACCCCACACCCCATGGCAGCAGGTGGGGCAGCCAGCTCCGGTGTCTGGGACCCTGGTGGGACGTCAGCCTGCCCAGACCGTGACTAGATTCCACATGCTGCTCTGATTCCAGGCACCAGGTCTGAGCGTCACCCCAGCCGAAGAGCCCTCAGATACCAGCTCAAGCACCAGAAGGCCTCCTGTCGACCCATGTTCTCTGTCCTTCTGTGCAAACGGAAGGTAAGAATGCCCAGTGCATTGCTGGATCTGCGAGCAGGAACATGAGCTTCTAGGGTGTGTTTCTGCAATCCCGCCTGCTAGCAATAGCCACCTACACCTTGTATAACACGCCTAATGACAGAAATGCCATCCTCTGCAATCTTCCGGTTACAAATCAAGTTTTGTACAGAACTTAGGTGAAGCACCTAGAGGAACACCCGGGCATTTGGGGAAGAGGAGCCATTCTCAAGGTACCCACTATGGGCTGGAGTAGTCAACCGCTGTGCTGGAGGAAAAGAGCACAGTCTTGCAGAATTGGGAGTGAGAGTAAAGAGAAGCTCTGGGCTCTTCATTCATTCATCCCAGTCCTGAGCCCAGACCGATGAGACCCACTTGTGCTAGTTCCAGGAAGGTGGGAACATGGGTGATGGCTGGGGGGTGGAGGGGGAGGGGGTAGGAAGGCTGGCGAAGGGCCAGCGCCTGGACCAGCCTCGGATCCAGGTACCGATGCTGAGGGCTGCTGCTGAGGGCTCTCACCGGCCCCCTCTGCTTTCAGAGTCACCCCAGTGACTGTGGCTTAGGAACGACAGTGCTGCAAAGTGGGTCTAACCTGAAGCAAAACCATGCAGAACAGACACGTCTGAGCATGCTTTCCACGAAGCAGCCGTGAATACAAAGTGCACAGCAGAGGCGAAAGAAAGATCTTAACTTGTTGGCAGCTAAAGTATTTTCATAATTAGTTAGACCCTCAGAATGCTCAGTAATGATATACATGTCTGTATCACATGTACATAGGCAGTTAAGGACTGTAAAATACACACTGAGCCTGTTTCTAAACAACTAAGTAGGAACAAGCAATCTAATTTACATGGGGAACACTTCTCAGATGTAGAACGAGGCCTTCCTAATGGAAACTCCTTACATTCAGGGCCTCATACATAAAAGGATCTACGTGAAGTAAGTGGTCGTTTGGGAGGAGCTTCTATGTTAGTTGTTTGTTAGCAGCTGTATTTTATCTCATATATTTCACATTTATGGACTCTGGTGCAGTTAGATATCTATCTATAAGGAGCTTTGCCTTGTGTCATTTCATAACCATGAGAAGGACCAGGCTCTGAAATACAGCAGAAGGCAGGTTGAATTTGAATCCCACTCTTGTCTGTGTCCCAAATGTCTTTCCATTCTGGAAGGCAGAAACTTATTTCATACATGTACTCTTTCTTGTCTGGTTTCTTTCACTCAGCATAGTTATTTTGAGATGTGCCTGTGCTGTTTCCTGTCATTCCTTTTTTGACAATATTCCATTGTATAGACATGCTACAGTTTGTTTATACATTTACTTGTTTATGGACATTTGGGTTGTTTCTAGTTTGGGGCTGTTACCCATCAAGCTGCCATGAAAATTCATGCACAAAAAAAAGAAACTAATTTCCAGACACTTCCTCCTGCTCTATCCTGCCTACACAGCTGCACCTTCCACACCCAGCAGAATGCCCACCTACTTGGGAAGGCCAACATACTTTTCTTAAATCCAGCTTCAACACATCTTTTTGTTCTGTGCTGCCAGCAGAGGCCAGAGGCCCGGGTGAGAACTCAGATGCCTTGTGTCACCGGAATCCTGCTCTCTGACGAGCAACCACCATTATATTTCCTGTCTGGAACTTCGCCCTGTGGTTGCTGGCGTGGGTGCCATGAAACCCCACTAATTCCAGGCTGAATGCAGATGCCTCCTCTGGAACAGACAAATGAGAGGCATGAAAATCCCAGCATAGCTTCCCAAGGAATTGTAATGTTTTCATAGATGGGATTAATTTGTGAGCTAAGAGGTGTCAGCCCAGACCTTTCTCAGTTAAAACCATTCCACCTAAAATAAAGTCTTCTCTCCATTTCTCTATTTTGTCCATCACCAGAGAGGTTCCCTTTATGTTTCTAACCCCCATAGTGTTGGATTCTACGATGACACAAACTAAGATTAACATGAAAACAAAGAGAAACCCTGAAATCCGGGCTTGCCTCTCCCTTCCTC